TATTCATGGATAGAAAGAAAGAATATCATTAAAATGTCCATATTATCCATATTACCCAAAGCAATCTATAGCTTCTATGCAATTCCTATCAAAACACCAATGGCATTTTTCACAGAAAAATACAAATGATTCTAAAATTGATATGGAACCACAAAAGACCCAGAACAGTCAAAGCAATTTTGAGAGTTAAACAAAGTTGGAGGTATCACGTTAGATGACATCACACTATACTACAAGGCTATAGTAAACAAAACAGCATGCTACTGTCATTTAAAAAGACACACAAATCATTGGAACAGAATAGAGAACCCAGAAACAACCCATGCTTACACAGTCATTTAATCTACAACAAAAAAGACAAAAATATAAATGAAGTAATGTCTTTTCAATAAGTGCTGGGAAAACCAGACAGATACATGCAAAAGAATGAAACTGGATAACTTTCTTTTACCATAAATAAGATTAAACTCAAAATGAATTTAAGATTTAAATGTAAGATCTGAAAGAAAAACACTCCAAGAAAAAAACATAGGCAATAAACTCTTTGACGTTGCTCCTAGTAATATTTTTTTACATGTCTCCTTAGGCAAGGGAAATAAAAAATAAACAAATGTGACTACATCCAACTAAAGAGTTTTTGCACAGCAAAGGAAACCATCAATAAGATGAAAAGACAACCTACTGAATGGGAGAAGATATCTGTTAATGATACATCTGATAAGGGGTTAATATCCAGAAAATATAAGGAACTCACACAACTTAACACACACACACACACAAAACAAACAATACAATTAAAAAATGAGCAGAGACCTTAAATAGACATTTCTCCAAAGACAGACAGATAGCCAATAGACATATGGAGTTTCCTCAAAAAGTTAAAAACAGAACTAACTTATGACCCAGCAACTCCACTGCTGGGTATTTACCCTAAGAAATCCAAAGCACTAATTTGAAAAGACATATGCACCCCTATATTCATTAAAGCATTATTTTCAATAGCCAAGATATAGAAGCAACCTAAGCATCATCCACTGATAGACAAGTGAGTAAAGAAGAAGTGATATATATGGCAATATTCTATTCTTTTCATGGCTGAGTACACACACACACACAATGGAATATTACTCAGTCATGAAAAGAATAGAATCTTGCCATCTGCTACAACATGGATGGACCTAGAAGGTATTATTACACTAAGTGAAATAAGTCAGATAAAGACAAATGCTATATGACTTAACTTACACATATGTGAAATTTAAAAAAACAAAATAAACAAAACAGAAACAAACTCATAGATACAAGGAACATTTTGATGGTTTCCAGATGGGAGAGAGATCAGGAGATGGATAAAAAAAAGGGGGAAGGGGTTAAGGTGTACAAATTGCCAGTTATAAAAAGTCACAAGGACGTAAAGTACAGCATAGGGAATACAGTTAATAATATTGTAATAACTATGTATGGTGTCAGATGGGTACTAGACTTAATAGGTTGATCACTTCTTAAGTTACATAAATCTCTAAACACTATGTTGTACACCAGAAACTAACATAATATTGAATGTCAACTGTATTGGAAAAATAAAATATATATGTTTACAAAAAAGGAAAAAAATAAAATTGTCTTTGTTTGCAGATGATTGTATATATAGAAAATCTGAAAGAATGAACAACACAAAGAAACCCTCCTGGAACTAATAAGCAATTATAACAAGGTTGCAGGATACAAGCTTAATATACAAAGTTAATCACTTTATTACATGCAAGCAATGAACAAGTGGAGTTTGAAATTAAAAACACATTACCATTTACATTTTCACCTAAAATTGAAAATAGTTAGGTATAAATCTAATAAAATATGCATGCACCAGATTAGTATGAGGAAATTTACAAAAGTCTGATAAAAGATATATATAAGAACTAAATAAATGAAGAGATATTTCATGTTCATGGAAAGACTTAATATTGTAAAGAAATCAGTTCTTCCCAAATTTATCTATAGATTCAACACAATCTAATCAATATACCAGCAAGTTATTTTTTGAATATCAACAAACTTATTCTAAAGTTTACCTAACAGTTAAAAGACCTAGCAGAGCCAACTCAGCATGAAGAAGAATAAAGTCAGAGGATTGACACTACTCAGCTTTAAGGTTTACTATAAAGCTATAGTAGTCAAGACAGTGTGGTATTGGTGAATAAAAAATACACAAATAGATCAATGGAAAAGAATAAAGAATCCAGAAATAGACCCACAAAAATATAGTAAACTGATCTTTGACAAAGGAGCAAAAGCAATATGGAACAAAGACAGTGTTTCCAACAAATGATGCTGGAAGAATTGTACCTCTTCCACATGCAAAAAATGAATCTAGACTCAGACCTTATACACTTCACAAAAATTGCCTCAAAATGAATCATAGACTTAAATGTAAAATACAAAATTATAAAACGTCTAGAAGATAACATAGGAGAAAACCTAGCTGACTTTTTTTCTTTTAATCCTCACCCAAGGACATTTTTCCATTTTATCTTCAGATAGAGTAGAAGGGGGGAGGGGGGGCAGAGAGAGAGAGAGACATCAATGTGAAAGAGAGGCACCGACTGGTTGTGTCTTGCATGACACCCACCAGGGCTGGGGACAAACTGCAACCGAGGTACGTGCCCTTGACCAGAATCGAACCCGGGACTCATTCGTCTGTGGGTCAACGCTCTAACTGTTGAGCCAAACTGGCCAGGGCCCTAGATGACTTTTTAGATACAACACCAAAGGTACAATCCATGAGAGAAATATTAAGAAAATGGACTTCATTAAAATTAAAAACCTGTGCTCTTAAAGACAATGTCAAGAGAATGAGAAGACAAGCCACATACTGGGAAAAATATGTGCAAAAGAGAGATCTGATAATGAATTGTTATCCAAAATATACAAAAAAGTCTTAAACCAACAATAAAAAAATGGACAACCTGCTTAAAAAAATGGGCCAAAGACTTGAATAGACACTTCATCAAAGATATACGGGTGGCAAGTAAGCATTTGAAATCATAAGACAACAGGCAACTGCAAATTAAAACAATAAAATATGACTACACTACCTATTAGAATGGCCAACATCCAAATCAATGACAACACTAAACGCTGACAAAAATGTGGAGCAACAATAACTTTCATTCGGTGCTTATGGGAACACAAAATACTACAGTTGCTTCAGAAGAAAGTTTGTCAGTTTCTCATAAAACTAAATATAGTCTTACCATACGATCTAGTAACCATGCTCCTTGGTATTTATCCAAATGAACTGAAAACTTATGTTCAGCCACTTTATTCTTAATTGTCAAAACTTTCCCTGTAGCTCATTTGGTTAGAGCATAGTCCCAATACATCAAGGTTGCAGGTTCGATCCCCAAAGTACATACAAGAATCAACCAATGAATGCATAAATAAGCAGACAAACAAATAGATCTCTCTTACTCTCTCTCTCTCTTAAATCAATCAATAAAATTTTTTTTAAAAAGTATTGTGAAAACTTGGAAACATCCAAGATGTCCTGCAGTAGGTGAATGGATAAATGAACTGTGATACATTCACACAGTGGAATATTATACAGCACTAAATAGAAATAAGCTATCAAGCCATGAAAAAAGTGGAGAAAACTTATATGCATAGTACTAATTTAGGATTGCCAATTTGAAAAGGCTACATATTGTTATGTTTCCAACTGTATACCATTCTGAAAAAGGCAAAACTATGGAGCCAGTAAAAAGATCAATAGGTACCATGGGTTGGGGATGTGGGAAGGGATGAATAGGCAGAACACAGGAATTCTGGGGCCGTGAAACCATTCTGTGTGATACTACAAGAATAGATAAAGTAAAAGCATTTTTTTTAAAAAGATACTACAATCATGGATATATGCCATCACATACTAATCAAAACCCATTAAATGTACAACATCTAAAGTGAGCCCTAATGACAACTGTAGAATCTGAGTGATGATGATGTATCAATGTAGATTCAAGGATTGTAACAAATGTACCACTGTGGTGACTGACAGTATGGGAGGCTGTGGGAAGGTGGGCACAGTGTATATGGGAACTCTGTAGTATCTGTTCAATCTTGCTATGAACCTAAAACTGCTCTTAAAACAAAGTATATTTTTTAAACTTAAAAATGTGTTTTTATTGAATTTTATTTTTTTTTAATCCTCAACTGAGGACACTTTTCCATTTTTTGTTCAGATAGAATGAGAGGGAGGGAGGGAGGTCAGAGAGAAATATCGATGTGAAAGGGACACATCAAGTGGCTGCCACCCGCACGACCCAACCAGGGCCAGGGACAAACTGCAAACAAGGTACGTGCCCTTAGCGGGAACTGAACCCGGGTCTCTCTGGACCGCAGGCTGACACTCTCACTGCTGAGCCAAACCGGCCAGGGCTGTTTTTATTGAATTTTTTGAGAGAGAAGAAAGGAGAGGGGAGACAGAAACATTGATGTGAAGGAGAAACATCAATCAGCTGCGTACTGCATGCCCCCTACTGGGGACTGAGTCTTCAACCTAGGCAAGCAGCCCCCTGACTGGGAATAGAACTGGTGACCTCCTGGTATATGAGAGGATGCTCAATCCACTGAGCTACTCCCGCTGGGCGGGGGTTGGAGGGTGGGGGTGGGTCTATTTTTTTTTTTAAAGAGTTAAGAACTGTACAACAATACACACTTGAGCTCATGATTTTCAGGCCTAATTCTTAACCCGTTAATGTCAGATTAAGTATTAAAGTTCCTAAATGAATTCTTAAAAGTCTAAAATGGGTATGAGACTAAAAGTTCTGCTAGGCAACTTCTACTGATCATTTATACTCCTGCTAGAAAAACTTAAATGTGGTTCTCCAAAGCTTTCTTGGTCATTTGGTTATTTTAAAAGAATTGTAAGGTAAGCTAGCTCCCTGTAAAAGTCCCATAGCTACAGGGAAATGTTAAGATAGTTGCATAGTTGTGTTTCTTACCTTTCTTGGGGCACTGTACATAATATGTTACTTTATTAATGACGAGTTTAAAATCATTCATTAGCAAAATTTCCATCAAGGTTGAAGTTGCAATCTCACTGCCGTCTGAAAGAGAAAACAATGCAAAAATATGTCCCTGTTTTGGAACAGTAAGAATCTTTTCCCAACATACAGAGAAATACTAACCCAGGTCTTTAAAGTACAAGAGGGGACATCTGTCTTTAGGGGGCTCCCTATAACCAATACTATTCTCATTGGGAGAAATCCTCCCTTGTTGCTCTGCCGTCCATTCCCTTGGACCAAGCAGAGCAGGCAGGTGCTTCCTCTCTCACCCCGTCAGCTGGGCTGGAATTCAGACTGCTGTCCTGGCAAGATTGTCCCTGCAGATGGTGATGCAGGTTCGGGGAGGTGGGAACTCTTCACAGCAAGGCCAGAGCAGTTGAGGGGGCCTCTGTGGGGTGGGCATGTCACAGCAGAGCTCATCAGGCTGTTCCCCGGCGAACCTGGTCTCTGCTGTGTTCTCCCTCTCCCGAGCCTGGCTTTCTGGCCATCCCAGCCTCAGTCCGCTGATGCACTCCACCAGAGTCCATTGCTGCTGCTTACAGCCAAGCCCAACTGGTATGAGCAGGCACACAGGTAGTATCATTTTGAAAGCCTCCCTTTCTCGTATTTTTAATTACTATCGGTGATTGATCTGTGTTAGTTAAAACGTGGTAGGCAAACAGTATCACACACCACCACACAAAGGGCTCCCTCCCTTTCTAGCTTGGAAAAGAGGAAAAGCTGCGGAAGGTGGGGGTGGCAGAGATGATAATAAACATAATTAAACCTAAGGAGTAAATCTGCATTTCTATGGTTTATTTTATGGACGTGGAGAGAGGTAGGAGAAATTCTAACAGTAATTACAAATACTCCAGGACCATTTCAGGAAAAAAAATCTCTTGGAAAATTTTAACCTCCATGTGCTTTGCACAGCTTCTCATACAACCTAGTTTGTGTTATATTTTTTAACTAAATGTAATGTAACCCAGGGAGGAAGGAAGCAAACTCACTGAACAGTAAGCAAAAAGCTGGTGTGGTGTAGGAGTTTCTCTATCATTACTCCTTCAGAACAGTCCACGTATAATGATGTGATAATCAAGTCCAAGATGAGTATTTTTTTCCTGGCCTGGCATTTGCTTGGCTGCATTCACCTGGAGCTATAGCAGCTACATTAATTATTATGAGTGATGGCAGTAATACTGCTAGTGAAATCAGGAAGGCCCTGCTTGCCTGCCTCCTGTCTGCTTCTCTGTAGTTCTTTTGTTCCAGAGGCAGCAAGTCAAGTCTGCACCTGTGTCTGTTCCTAGACTTGGGCTGTTCGGGTTCCTGTTTATCAGCTGGGGTGAAATCATTTTCTGAGGAATTGCCAAATAATTTAGCCTACATCACGGACAGAACTGTGAACACTCTTTTCATGCCCAAATTAAATGCACGCAAATTCTACCCACATAGCCTCTTTTTATTTATTTTTTTAATTAAATTTTATTTTATTTTTGTTACACAGCTTATATTTATTTATTTATTATTATTACTATTTTTTATCCTCACCCAAGGACCCTTTTCTATTTTCTGCTCAGATAGAGTGGGAGGGAGAGAGGAGGAGGAGAGAGAGAAACATCGACGTGAAAGGGACACATCAAGTGGCTGCCATCCACACGACCAACCAGGGCCAGGGACAAATTGCAACTGAGGTACAAGCCCTTAGTGGGAACCGAACGCGGGTCTCTCTGGACCACAGGCTGACGCTCTAACCACTGAGCAAAAATGGCCAGGGCTATATTTATTTTTAAATTATTTTTTAAAATGTTGACATTATTGCAGGTATCCCCATTTTTCCCCCTCTGTCCACCTCCACCCACCCTCGCCTCCCCTCCCTTGGTCTTCACCCAATTATTGTCCATGTCCATGGGTATGCATAGATATTCTTTAGCTAACCCTTTCACCTTTTTTATTCATTCACCTCCAACCCCATCCCCTCTGGCACAGGCCAGTCTGTTCCATGCTTCTGGTTCCATATTGTTCATCAATTTATTTTGTTCACTAGATTCCACATATTAGCGAGATCATGTGGTATTTATCCTTCTCCGACTGGCTTATTTAGCCTAGCATAATATTCTCCATGTCCATCCATGCTGTCGCACAGGTTAAGAGATCCTTCTTTTTATTGCTGCATAGTATTCTATCGTGTAAATGTACCACAGCTTTTTTATCTACTTATCTGTTGAAGGACACTTGGGCTCTTTCCAGATCTTGGCTATTATAAATAATGCTGCTGTGAACATAGGGGTACATATATTCTTTCTGATTGGTGTTTGGGGATTCTTAGGATATATTCCCAGAAGTGGGGTCAGTGGGTCAAAAGACAGTTCCATTTTTAATTTGTTGAGGAAACTCTATTCTGTTTTTTACCAGAGCTTCTTTTTAAAAAGATCAACACACTAATCATTTTATCTGACTTTGCAAGTGTCATTTAAACATTTATATTTAAATAACTTCAAACCAACTCCTTAAACTATTAGTAATGTTACTAATAAAAAGAAATCAAACTGTGTATGATTTCTCAGTTGAAGTTATACATTATCCTTTACACTAATGTAGGAACAGTAAAAGACTGATGTGGAACACTTTGAAGGAGCTAATGATAAGTGTTAAAATTTTTCACCCAGTTGGTGTGGCTCAGTGGCTGAGCGTCGACCCACGCACCAAGAGGTCGCCGGTTTGATTCCCAGTCAGGGCACACGCCCAGGTTGTGGGCCAAATCCCCAGTGGAGGAGCATGTTGGAAGTGGCCAATCAATGTTCTCTCTCATCGATGTTTCTATCTATCTCTCCCTCTCTCTTCCTCTCTCTCTAAAAATCAATAAAGAAAAAAAATTATTAAAAAAAAAAAGGCCCTGGCTGGTTTGGCTCAGCGGTTGAAGCATCGTCCTGCGGACCAGAGAGTCCCAGCTTCAGTTCCCGCTAGGGGCACGTACAAAAAAAAAAAGATCCTTGCTATTCTTGAGCAAGGATCAATTTAAACCCCAGTAAAGTGTTTTCACTCAGCCCAAAGGCCCCCTTTCTCTAAGAGTTCTGGTCTTTTTCTTTGTGCTTTATGTTTCAAAGCTGCTCAAATTACTTTAATTAATAAGCAGGGTCCACATCCATCATTGCTTTTAACCTCTCCTATTCCATTCATTTAACAAGCACTTACTGAGTAGATACTACCTACCCGCCAAGCACTGTGCTCCAGGCTTGCATCTGCCTGCTCTCAGCTTAGGAAGGTAGGCCCTGTCCCTTTGGAGAAGGCCCAAGGGTGTTCACTGCTCCTGTGACTGGGGGAATGTCTGTCTAGTTCAGGGATGGAATATTAGGCCATTGTAGCCATGAGATTAAAACCCTATTCTCTGATTCTGGTTTTACCAGGGAAAAAGCTCCCTTTCCAGTTAAATCCAAAGTCCTCACAATAACATTAAAAAATAACACCTCCACTCTTCATTCGCCCCTACTTTCATCCAGCTCCCTTCTTTGCAGCCACAGAGGAGTTGGCTCCCACCTCAGGGCCTCCCATCCACACAGCTCTGCCATCTCTTCCAGGTCCTCTTCATATGTGCCCTTAGCAAGCACCTCCCACCCCAACACACACACTCCCCCACCCCCTCAGCTTTATTTTTCTCCATAGCACTTATTGTCTAATATTTTATATACTTTATCTCTTTGCCTTGTTTCTTTCTCTCTAAAATGTAAGCTCCACAAGAGCAGGAGTTTTTCTTTGCTCTACCTCCTCTCACACCTAGAATAGTGTCTGGTATATGTTAGGTGCTCAATAAATATTTGCTGAGTAAATAAATTATTTAATCTCCATCTTTCCAGCTTCTATATCTATACTTCATTAGTTATGAACTTGGATAGGAAGAACAATGTTTATTTCCTTTTCAAAACTGCACCAGTATTCAACTTTTAAATAAGCTTATTCAAAACATGTAAGACTACCATAAAGTAACAATGCAAATTTATTCATTTATCTATATGTGTAGCCTCTGTATGAAAGAAGTTGATTCTTCAATTGTTTAATAAAGAATAAGCAATTCTTGCCCTGGTGGATTTGGCGCAGCAGTTAGATCATCGGCCCACGGATCAAAGAGTCTCGGGTTCAATTCTGGTCAAGGGCACATACCTTGGTTGCAGTTCGGTCCCCGGCCCTGGCCCTGGTTATATGGGAGGCAACCAATTGATGTGTCTCTCACATCAATGTTTCTCTCTTTCTCCCTACTACTCTATCTGAAAATCAATGGAAAAATAAGCTCTGGTGAGGATTAAAAAAAAAAAACAATTCTTGATTCTATTTTAAGGGCAGTAGGTCTAAGGCCATGTCAGACCACAAGGATATGAAAGCTATATTTTAAATTTAATATGTCTAAATGATTAGCCCTCTCTGCTGGTATTAAAAAATATGTAGTGCACCCTGGCCAGTTTGGCTCAGTGGTTGAGGCTCAACTCATGCACCAAGAGGTCGCTGGTTCTATCCCCTGTCAGGGCACATGCCCAGGTTGTGGGCCAAATCCCCAGTGGGGGGCATGCAAGAGGCAGCCAATCGATGTTCTCTCTCATCAATGTTTCTCTCTCTCTCCCTCTGCCTTCTTCTCTCTCTAAAATCAATAAAGAAAAAAAAAATTTCAAAGCATGCTATACTGCCTTGGCCGGTTTGGCTCAGAGGTTAGAGCATTGGACTGCAGACCAGTGAGTCTCGGGTTCGATTCCAGTCAAGGGCACATACCTTGGTTGTGGTTCATCCCTGGCCCTGGTCGGGTCATGTGGGAGGCAAGCAGTTGATGTGGCTCTATCACATTGATGTTTTACTCTGTCTCTCTCTCTCCCTCCCTCCCACTCTATCTGATAATAAGTAGAAAAATATCCTCAAGTGAGGAATAAAAAAAAAAGAAAAGCATATTATACTGAAGTTGCTTTATAACAAAGATAAATGAACTATTGGTGTATTTTAATTGTTCACTGGATATTTTCACCATTGAGAATACATTTTGTTTTTAATTATTCAAATTCTGCTGAAAATTACACACTGATGACTATGTCATTAAAATTTTCTCGGGGCTGAGTTTTGGCTCAAATAAACTCATAAAAATTTAAAAAAATAATAAAATAAAATTTTCTCAGGGCTATATTTATTAAACAAGTAACGTAAGCTTGCACTAAATTTACTCTATTCATTTTTATTCAATAGAGTTAATATTTTAATATTACTGATTATAAAAATGAAGGTTTCAGTGAAGACCAACCATTTGTTATATAAAGAATTAAATAATCAACTTCTTTCTTAAAAAGCAAAGAAACAAAATAAAGATTCAGAAAAAGAGGAAGTTAAAAATATATATATATGTATGTATGTAAATACCTGCTGTGAGGATGGCTGCATTTCTGACACCTTTATCTTCATTTCGTATGTCCTGAAGAAATGAACCAACTGTTGATAACATTGGTTTGACTACAAATTGACAGCGCTCATTTCTGGATGGCAAAGTAAGTGTTATCAAGGGAAGGCCATGTCTATAAGTAACTGTTATTTCTGTTAAGAAAAAAAGACAATATAAAAATAGATAAAATGTACTTTTTATAAAAATAACTTTAAAATACAAATATTCTCAAAGGAATGCTTAAACATATAATTCATAAGCCTTTAAATTCCTGTAATCATTTGCATGGCTTCTATAGTGTCTTCACTATCCTATGGTTGACAGATTTCCCTACATTCTATGACATTTTATCATAGCATATATTGATATTATTGTAATAACCCAGTTGTTAATTAACAGGAAAGGAGCAAAGGGGAGACTAGATCATACAGGCATGCATTTGTACAGCTTTGCCAGAAAGCTGCAGTTTAACATTCTCCAGGTCTATTCCCCACAGAGTGATCAGGGAAGGGACTGGACAGAGGCAGTTTAGATGCATGCCCAGTAAGGTCTGAGTGACACGGAAGATGCTTGCCTGTCAGTCACACTCGGGAACAAATAATCGGCCAGAACAGGTGTGGCCACCACAAGCACCAGAAGATTTGACATTTAAACTCCTGAACAAAGGAGTTGTGCCTGACTGCTGACTTGCAGGGCTCTCTGACTCCTGCACCACCCACGTGGCTCACAGCCATGTGCCCCCCCCCCCCACACACACACAAAATGAACTGTGATTAGCCCGATGCTACACAGGACTTAACTCTACCATGGAACGAAAACTTTGGACGCTGGCTCTGCTTCTAGCTCTGCTGAATTTCCAGCTACCCCTCTTCCAGGACCAATTTAAGGGAAGAGGGACTTTGCAAACTGAGGAATATAATTCTATGCAAGTAAAAGTCACTCATCCTCCCGTTCGAGTCTCAGAAAATTCTTCTCCTTGAGATATCATAAGAGCCCCACTCTCACTAGCAACGAAGAAAGGCAATCCATGCAATTCTCTGGTAACGATATCACACTTTATTATAATGATCTTAAAGCCTTCCTGGGTAAAGAGTTAAGTTTTTGAGGGTAGAAACTCTTCTCATTCATCTATAATTGTTCTGACTGCTGGGGTGGGAGTTTGCCAAAGGACATCAGAGATATTAGGGGAACAGAAAAGGGAGAAACTGAACGAAGCCAGGTGCAGGGTGGCATGCAGGCGTGGGGGTGGGAGGGATGCAAGAAATGTCTGTTTCTCTCAAAACACACTTCTCACTTTATTTGGAAGAATGGAAATGAATTAGCACAGGAACAAAGACATGCTCAGAAAGCTTACCATCAGGTGGCGCCACTGTGCTGTAAAGATGTGATTGATAGTCTCTCAGATTTCCACACAGCCTCACACGCAAAACCTGTAAGATTATTTTTTCTTTTAGAAAAGTGGTCAAGTTGAAATAAGTGTCTTTACCAGAAGATTCCTTTTAACCTTATATGACAAGCATAATGAAAATCCCAGCTTTCCACCGTCCCTGGGGAAGCCCCTAGAGAAGCTCACTCACCCTTCCTGGCCGCAGGGCTGCCTGCTACCATAGTTAAGCTCACCTGTGACACCAGGACAAGGTTGTCATGTCAGGGTGTGAGAACTCCTGGAAACGCTAGAGTTCTCTGAAAGAATTTTTAAATTGCATTTGTCCTTTTAGGAGATCGTCTAAAATAAATGAATGCAAGTATATTCTAGGTGTTTGCTTCTCAAAGTATGGTCCCTGAGCCAGAAGCATCAGCACACCCTAGGAGCTGATTAGCAATGCAGAATCACAGACCTAGCCCAGACTTAACTGAATTAGAATCTGTGTTTTCACAAGCTCCCCAGTTGATTCTCATGCACATCAGACTTGATAAACACTGATCTAGGTAAGTCTATATTGTTCAATATGATAGTCACTAGTCACATGTGGCCATTTTTTTAGTATTTTTATTTTTTGTTAATCTTCACCTAAGGATACTTTTTTCCATTGATCTTTAAAGAGAGTAGAAGGGGCTGAGGGGAGAGGGGGGCACTGATACATTGATGTGAGACACATTCATGGGCTACAGTTCAAACCTGCAACCCAGGTACATGCCCTTGACCGTGAATCAGACCTGCAACCCTTTGGTGTGCCAGCCGATGCTCTAACCACTGAGAACACTAGTCAGGGCCGACTGTGGCCATTTAAAGTTAATTAAAATTAGGTAACACTAAAAATTCAGCTTCTCTCTCACTGTTGGCACACTCCAAGTGCTCTATAGCTCTGTGTGCAGAGTGGCTACCGTATTGCACAGTAAAGGAAGAGAACATTTTCATCATCACAGAAAGTCTGCTAGACAGCTCTGGTTTCTGTAGGGCTTTTGGCTCCTTATTTTTACTTTCCATGAAAATGTTTGTTCTATTCTTTCTTCTTTTCTACCACTTTAGAAACCATAAATTGAGTGGTTTCCTTTACATGTTTAAAATACAGACACATTTAATTATAATTTTTTTAACAAAGTCTCAAGTTTTTCATTATCTTTGCCTTCCTCCTGAACATAACAAGGATCTCCACATGTTCTAAGAATCCACTGCTGGGTCTACAGCATCAGAACAACTACCTTACTATGGAACATGTGTTTAGGGTTTGCATTGAGAGAGGGAGAGAGAGAGAAAGAGAAAAACATTCATGTGAGAGACACATTGACTGGCTGCCTCCCACATGACCCCAACCAGGGCTGGGGACGAATGGCAACCAAGGTATGTGCCCTTGACTGGAATTGAATCCACGACCTTTCGGTCCAAGGTCCGACGCTCTCACCACTGAGCCAGACTGGCCAGGGCTGACCCAGTTTTTTAAATTCATCCCCTTGCAGTCGTTTATTAACAATGTTTGCCAGTAATTATGCAATGAAGAATGCTTTTATAAATTACATTTTTAAAGTTTTCATATATGTGAGGATGCACTATTAAAATAATGAATAAGTAGTTAAAAATGTGTTCATTGCAAAAAAAGAAAAAATATATATATATATGTTCCCTGCTATAAAAATGAAACAATGACACTGGCTCCAATAATGTTTCTTTATGCTCAAAATCAAAACAATCCCATCAATAAGTAAAACAAAACATTCCAATACATATTTCTAGTATTAAACATGTGTAGGCAAAGTTTCAACAAAACATCACCTGTCACATTAAGGCTGTTCATTTGAATTTTATTTCTAAAATATTACTACCAGATGAGAAGAAAAAAACTGATTATAGATGTAACTCTCAATAAATAAATATATGTAGAAGTTTTCCAAGTTTGATAATGGCTCTCACGCTCCTGCATTTGTCCACGTGGTGGACTCCACACACAATGGACTGCGACTAGCTTAATGCTAAACCAAACCCAATTCCAATGTGGAACTGGCCTTGCTTCTAGCTCTACTGAATCCCCAGCTGCACATCTTCCAGGACTACATTAAGGGAAATGGGACTTTAGAAACACAGGGATGTAATTCCACACAAATAAAAATCACTCATCCTCCTGTGCAAGTCTCAGAAAATGCTTTTTCTTGAGATATCATAAGGACCCACTCCCTAGCAACGAAGAAAGACCATCCATGCATTTCTCTGATAACATTACCACCTTTGTACATGAGTTAAATTCTATACTAGAGTCTGTATAATGCTAAAGATAGCTTATGAGTCAGGTTCCTAAACATCAATAATGATGATTCCTCATCATAAAGTACTCATCATTTAATGTGCAATGAAGTTTCTGGTCTGCTATCAAGGAAGTCATTTTAGATGCACCCTCTTGACAACCAGGAAATGTTGAAGGCAGAGTGGACAGAGAAAATTACCAGGGCTTTCTCTGGTTAGTGTTTGTGTGACTAACGATCAGCTGGAGGGCTTGCCTGAAATGCCGATTCCTTGCAAAGACTGCCCCGAGAATTTCTGATCTGGCGAGAAAGAAGCAATCTCAACCTTTGCACTGACGTTGGCTTTTTATGCATACTGTCGCAAAATGTAGCAATGTAGTTTACTGTTGTTATATTAAGACTGTTACCCATGCTACACCATGCTTCATGACAAAATTTCATTTGTTTGTAATTAGAAATAAATATTTCACAATATATAATTACATATTGTTTTTGTGATTAATGACTATGCTTTAATTCTGTTCAATTTGTAACAATGAAAACACATCCTGCATATCAGATACTTACATTACGAATCATAACAGTAGCAAAATTACAGTTACAGCAACAAAAATAATTTTATGGTTGGGGGTCACCACAACATGAGGAACTGTATTAAAGGGTCAGGGCATTAGGAAGGTTGAGAACCACTGTTCTAGACTCTAAGGGACCCCACGAGGCTTGCAACTAAGGCAGCAATGGGCAGTGGCAGTCCATCCTGGGCAACCTTCTGAACTTGTTTTCAGGACCCCTTTTCTTTGACTTCTTAGTGAGCCAAAGCAGACCAACCTAGGCTATTTTCTCAGCACTTCCTTGTTTCACTGTCCCCACCTTTAATAAACATCCTCTGAAATTCACCTGGACTTGTGCTGTGAAATTTTTCCTACATAGAGTCAAGAACCCACACACTACTACTGGCTGGCCCTAGCCAGACCCACCAAGGGCTAGGTTCCCTTTTCAGTAACAAGGGCATCATTACAATATGCCAAGGTTGTGGGTTTGATTTCCGTTCAGGGCACATACAAGAAATCACCCAATGAATGCATAAATAAGAGATAAAAAAAAAATCTCTCTCTCTCTAAAATCAATTAAAAAAAAAAAAAAAAGCTATACCAGCTACTGTGATCTTTGACAGCCAGAGTGTTCAAAAGAAACAGGTTGTGAGAAAAAGAAGGGAACATGTTTGGTGGGATGGGGGTGGTGGTGGTGGCTACAGTTAGATGACTACAAGAGTGGAAAATATCAATATGGGAGAGATCTGTTTGAGCTTCAAAGTAAAAGGAAGGCAGCCATTAATAGAAAGAAGATGTGTAATGATCACACATTGGGGTCAATTAACAAGATCAGATTGCGTCTAGAGCTATGTCCTAATAAATTAAATACCTTTATTATTATTAAGAAAGCAAAGATGCAATTTCCATTCAAGATTTCATTCAAGATTAAGGGACCCCCATGTTCCAAGCTCAACAACAATATATGGCCCTGGCCAGTTTTTTTCAGTGGTTAGAGCATTGGCCCTCAGACTGAAGGGTCTTGGGTTCGATTTCCAGTCAAGAGCACTTACCTGGATTGCAGGTTCAATTCACAGCCCCAGCTGAGGTCGTGCGGGAGGCAACCAATCAATGTATCTCTCTCACGTAGATGTTTCACTCCCCCATCCTTCTCCCCTTCCCTCCCTCCCTTCCACTCTGTCTAAAAATCAATGGAAAAATATCCTCAAGTGAGGATTAACAACAATAACAACAACAATATATATGTATTTCCATGTACCAAAAACAAAAGAGAAACACAAGGTGTTTTGTTAGAAAAGCTGTAACTAAATATGTGTTTATGTTAAAAATGTAAAGAAAACCACTCAGTCTACAGTTTCTGAAGTGGTAGAAAAGAAGAAAGAATAAAACAAACTATTTCATGGAAAGTACAAAAAAAAAGCAAAATGCCCTATAGAAACCAGGAAACTTTTTTTTTCCAATGAGGTAAAGAAATGTAGTAAAAGTCCTTGTGGAAACCTGGAAGAGAGAAAATAAGCACCCACAATCCCACCAACCTGAATTCTTTTATGCCAGCCTTTTTATATATAAGTTCATATAATCATATAATCCATTGAGAGCTGATCATTAATGTTTTATGAGATTTACCTAACTGATTAAAAACTCATTATTTTAAATTATTTTATTTAAATAGCTCTATAACCACTTATCCTATGGGTATAACAGAATTAACTATTTAGCTATTGTTGGATATTTCCATTTTATATCCTACTTCTAAAATTTTTCCTGGTCAGAAAGGAATGCATGATCATTTTAGAAAATCCATAAATCACATGCTCTCCAAATAGAAAATAAAAGTCACCAATAATGCCATCATCTAAAATTACAGTTAACAGTGATATATACCTTCCAGTTTATTTTCTAGGTACTGTATTCAATTTTTTACCATTACAGCTAAACTGATTCTAAACAGCTTTGCACATAAATCTTTGTTTGCATTTTTCCCTTTGGGGTCAACTGCAGAATGACTGGATCACAAAGTAGTAATAATTTTAGAATCCTGAAATGAATTTTCAAACTTCTTTGGAGAATATTTTTCTTTGCTTCTTGTTGCTTTATTCAGTACAGCCCCAGATTGCAAGTTGTCTGAACCCAAACAAACAGATCTCCACAAGGTTCAGAATCAAACAATAAGAGACATCTATCTGGGCATCCCTGGAGCAACA